AATATTAGTCCAGTCAAATAAGAAAAAATAAAAACATTAATCGGTAAAGATCTGAATTTTGGTACACATGTTCATTAGTGTTCCCTATTGGACATACTAAAAGTCCCCGTCAAAATATGTTGCGCTCGAGGCGCCATCCTGGAAAAGAGGAGCACTTCTTCAGTTTATTGCCTATATATCGGCAACAATTATTGATACGGAAAAATAGTTCAGATAAAAAATATAGTTTATTAAATTGCCCATAAAAAAGCATATTAACATTTTTTTGTATGTCCAATACTTTAGCTATAATCCGATATCGAATAGGGAATCAAGTAGCCTGAGCTCTCGAAACAGTCGCGCAGATATTTTTTTACAACTTTTTACAAATCATTAAATTCATTGAAAATTCTACCCGTATTTCTTATATATGCGAAGTCGTCGCACCCAAGCTTGGTATGAGACACGTTTAATAAGGTTTCTCATAAAACTCTCTCTCAATAGAACTTCATCTTCAATGTGAGCACTGAGTGTGGACTGGGAGCCTTCAGTGTCCGAACAGAGTCAAGGTAATTCTGAAGGTCTGATAACGATGCCGGTTTTAATATCTCTTACTAGCAGGCACGTTATACTTATGCAGATAAGGGCGTTCTTCAGCTTCAGAAATCATTTCGTTGCTTCAACACTTTTACACATTTTCGCTTATCTTTTTGAAAAAAAATGTTATGTCATTGCTAGAATGCTGTATCGCACGACGATTCTGTTCATTATTTGGCTCTGTTACAGCTATCGGTGTAGTCATAAAAAAGACGGCCTCCTTCTATAACTACGATACGGGGCCTAAACGCGTTGTGACATATTCAACGTGAGATTACAGCTAATGTACTGGAGATACAAAAAAATGTAAATACTCTTTTTTATAGGGAATTTAGTAAACTATATTTTTCATGTAAACTATTTCTTCGTATCAGTAATAATTGCCGAGACATGGGCAAAAAACTGGAAAAGTGTACTGTTTTTCCAAGATGGCGTCTCGAGCGCAACAGATTTTGACAGGGACTTTTAGTATGTTCAATAGAAAGTACCAATAAATGTGTATACCAAAATTCAGATCTTTACCAATTAATGTTTTTATTTGTCCAAAATTGCACTAATTTTACTGGACTATATATATAACGGGGGATCCGCCAAATTGATCATCCGCCAAATTGATCAAAAATTTTGTTCGGAGTAGAAAGAATTGGGACCCACACCACAAAAGTCTGCTCGGAAATGTTTGAACTTCAGAATCTCGCTTTACGGAATATTCCCGTGGCCCTGACAAAAGTTCTAGGCCGCTAAAGTTGAAATTAACTCATTTTCGCATGCGCGAATAGACCAAAAATAATGAAACTGTTAAAAAAAATTTGCCAGTAGCTCCTAGACTATAATAGCACAGATTTATTTAAATCTGTGATAATAGAATGGGGTAGCGCCATATCAGAATTCCAACAACGCCATACAGAACTAATAACAGCGTGGCGCGACGATAACTCAGTAGATGAAATACACTGTGTTCCAATAAGACTGTTGTCATTGTTATTGTTGGAACTGTGAAGTTAATTAAATTCAGTAACAAACTACTACAAGGTTTTTTTTGGGAGCTTTAGTTAAACGTTTCTGGGAAAGTAAAATAGGTAGGTTTTTGAAAATTTGAACTTAGGAGTTACTCTGAAGGCCGATTCGATGTACGATATTTTCAAAATGGCCGCACTTCCGGAAACACCGGAAGTAGATAGTAACTTCGTTATTTTAAATGGCAACCCCTATTTTTTATTCCATTTTTAGATTCTACGTGAATGATATGTCGATATCTGCCACTTATGGTTTTTAAGTTATTTTGACTTTAAGAAAAAAAATGGCGGATGCAGACGGTACCTTGATAATTGATAACTTGAGAACGCGGTTGTAGTCATGGCAACCCATTTTTATCAGTGCATATAGAGAATGAATAGAGCTTTCTTTTAGTGTACTTAAAAAAAAGTTAAGTTGCGTACAACCGCACCTATGGAGATCCAAATTTAAGAAACTTTAAAGTCTATAAACTCAGTTTTTTTAAATGGAATGACCCTGTTCTTATTATTGCATGAGATAGAGAATCGAAATTGGCATATTTTGATATTACATGTTCCTATAGCTATCTTTAACAGTTTCTGACTTATTCCCATTTTATTGAATTGACGCTATTTTTTTCGGATTTTCATTTTAGTAGTCGGCCATGATTTTAAAACAATCGAATTTTAAACAAATCTAGTGACACTAATCCGTCACCTACTGTTATAGGTGAACATAGGTTTTTCAAAAATCGAAAAATGACTCGGAGTGGTTTCACCTATTTTGGAATTTAATTGTTATTTATGGTGAAATGGACAGAATTGCGGCACGCGCTTGCCGTACATTCATTCGAACACTGGAACGAAATTGTATCAATTTTGGAAATGTTGTACCCCCAAATGCACTACAAACCGTTGAAGCACAAGTGATACAAAGCTCTACAAGAGAATATTTAAGAGAATGAATTGAATTGCAAATGCAACATTAACAAAATAAATTCAATGCAAAATATAAAAAACTTCGTTGAAACATTTTTGGTATGGAATTGTTGCTAGAACAGATATCGCATTACCTCTCTTAATTTCCAGACTTATACGTTGTTTAAGAAATTCAGTTGAACGACTCTGTCTAGATTTTTCAAAAATTTTCCGTCCTATATCCTTAACAAAAAACTTATTTACCTATTAATGAATTATTTAGACTAGAATCAATGATATTAACGAATCCATTCCTTGATTTGTTTAAAATTCGATTGTTATAAAATCATGGCCAACTACTAAAAAGAAAATGCGAAAAAATCGCATCAATTCCTAGATCAATTCAATGAAATGGGAATAAATCAGAAACTGTTAAAGATAGCTATAGGAATATGTAATATCAAAATATGCCAATTTCGATTCTCTATCTCATGCAATAATAAGAACAGGGTCATTCCATTTAAAAAAACTGAGTTTATAGACTTTAAAGTTTCTTAAATTTGGATCTCCATAAGTGCGGTTGTACGCAACTTAACTTTTTTTTAAGTACACTAAAAGAAAGCCCTATTCCATTCTCTATGCACTGTAAAAAATGGGTTGCCATGACTACAACCGTTTCAAGTAATCAATTATCAAGGTACCGTCTGCATCCGCCATTTTTTTTCTTAAAGTCAAAATAACTTAAAAACCATAAGTGGCAGATATTGACATATGGGTATCAAAAGAATTGAAATTTCACGTAGAATCCAAAAATGCAATAAAAAATACGGGTTGGCATTTTAAATAACGAAGTTACTATCTACTTTCGGTGTTTCCAGAAGTGCGGCCATTTTGAAAATATTTTACATCGATTCGGCCTTCAGAGTAACTCCTAAGTTCAAATTTTCAAAAACCTACCTATTTTACTTTCCCAGAAAGGTTTAACAAAAGCTCCCTATACAGTGTAGTGTGCTCAGTGAAATGGACAAGGATATATTTTCCAACTGGTGAGACTGTAATGGCAGTGTATTGGGAACGATATCGTTACACTTAATTTCTACATATATTCAAGTCCTCAATATACATACATTTAAATACAGAATAAAGAATTACAGTCAAATACTTCATTAAAAAAAGCAGCCAAATAATTGGAAACCTACAGCTAAATGTAAAGAGATAATCATAAGAACTAAAGTCATATCACTAAATAATAGCACCGTATTAAAGTTCCAAACGTTAACAGAAAACATACAAATTTCAATCAAATTGACCAGGTAAGAATGAAACTGATGACAAATTTCTGCACTTAATCCCCTTGCAATTGTTCTTCAACGTCCCTTAGGAGAGTAATTAGTGCAGCGGTTGAATGGTGTGATGAATCGGAAGAAGTAGATGAATCTGAATCGTCACTAGCTTCAACCTCGCCATTTATACTGTGATGTCCAGACGCCGTTACTAAGTTCACTCCGTCCGCATGCTGGGATGCAGATCGAGCAGCACGTTGAAAGGGATTCTCCGATAGAGAATCAAATGTTCCACCACTGTGCGACATTTGATTACTCGAGTTCATTAGCGGTGTAGTGTCATCCGCATCGGAATCGCTATCGGAGTTGGAGTGATGAGATTCATGCTGAGCAAACACTTTCCGTTTGCAAACAGGACAAACTCTACGATTTTTCGTTAACCAAGGATCAATACATTTACAATGGTACGCTAAAGAAAGTTAGTAAAATATTTCTCTTTATCAAACCACAATTTGAATTACCGTGCGCACAAGGTAGAACTCTTAATTTTTCTCCTTCCACATAATCATCCAGACAAATTGCGCATGTATCATATGGGTCCCCTTTGGCAAATTTACATGTGGGTATTTGATTTAAGGTAGAAGACGGCAGCCTATGCCTGCGTTGTCTTCTGCGATCTTTTATAAATTTGATAACCTAAAACCATTTGCTGCTATCATGTTGGTACAGACACAATCGTTAACTTACAATAAATATAACCATAACTATAAAACAAACCCCCACGACGATTGCGAAGGGAATTAACAATGTTGAATTAAAATTAAACGGCATCTCCGAGTTGATTATTACAAAATAATCTGGACTGCAATACATTTCCTGCAGTATTCTTCCCGTGGTCTCGCTGACGAAAACGGACGGTATGGTAATTCCGACTTTATTTTTTGCGGACATCGGTTCCAGTTCGTCCGATCCTACGTTATGTACAATGACCCCATCATATGAGGCGTTCTCCGCCATTCGAACTTTATGTTCAAATGAACAGTTTTGTGGTGAACGTGCTATTAAAACTACAAACATCCCCTTATAACCAGGTAGATCTGGAGGACTAAGCAGTGAATTACACGCATCTGGTGGATTTGCATAGACCAATATTCCCTGTAAACCTGGAAAACAAGCGACATTGCATTAGACGCCAAAGAAAAATTAATAATAAACGTGTAAACAACTATAGCAAACGAGCTCCTGGATATGCCTATAGCATGCGAAAACCAAATTTTTAAACTGGGGCTTCCAAGTGAATTGTATCAAAGTTCATTTACATACTTCATAAATAAAAAAGTTTACAATTCAGTTCATAAATTAAATTAGCCTCAACTTTTGGAATTGTGTTTATGGCTAGAGCTATGTCCATATTAAGTTAATTTTCAAAATGGCGGATTTTCAGACATTGACATCAACTTCCTTATAATAATAATAATAACTTTATTGCCCAACAGCAAAAGCCAATTACTGGACAAATTATAACAACAACAATAATAATAACAAACAATCTTATTTTAAATGGACGCCATATTTGATTTTACGTCACTCGATAGAGACAAAAATACAAAACAGCGAGACAATAAGCGAACGAATTTGGTTTCAATCACAATCGGCCATGGAATTATTGCCATAAGAAATACATTATAAACTTCGAGGCAAAAATGCAAGGTTGATTCCCAAATGAAATGCTAAGTGTTTAGTATCACTGGTTTTGTAATTTTTTCTCTATGGAGTGACTTAAAAATCCAATATGGCGGCCATGCAAAACAAGGAAGTTGATGTCAATATCTCGAAAACCGCCATTTTGAAAAAAAATTTCTATTGAATATCCATTGAATTTATCCGATCCAATCTTGCAACTTTTATTTGAAACTTTTTTTAATAACTCTTTTTGTTACTAAATATTTGAACTTTATTAAAATGGCGATTTTCACATTTTTCCAATTATCTACGAAACGAACTATTTTTTTCAAAATATCGCATTGGAATTTCCGTCAACATCAAAGACTGCACGTAAACTTTGCCAATTTAACCGAATTTGTAAATACAATAATAACAAAGATAGCCATGTTATCCTACTTAATTTAGGACACCTTGCATACACCACGATAGAGAAGTCTATTACGCACCTTACATCCTTCGGCGCAAGCGCCTCAGGGTGTAATCTTTGTGCTCAGGCAATAAAAGTAGACTTCTCTACCTTGGTATATAATGTACTATTACATAGAATCACATAAAATATTAATAATATCAACCCTAACCTTATAATGGCTTAAACAGAAATTTTGAACAATCTTGACAAGCTTGAAAACCTTTGACGCTGAGTGTAGGGAAATGTGGTATCAAACGACATAGATCTTCATGTAGATGCCGGAAGTACAATATAGGGCGTTCTATTTAAAATAAGAAAGTTGCTATCCACATCCTGTAAAACTGGAAGTGACACAATGGAGATAATATTTTCTTTTGATAGATCATGGAAAACTATGTTAGTATACACATTTTCAGATATCAATTATTAGTGGGAACGGTTTGCGTGATTACCAATACCTTAGTATTGATAAGTATCCATCTATGAATATTATTATTGTTCCGTACATATATGTTTTTATTATAAAATTTAGTTGATCGTAAGCACTTAATTCAGTAAGCATAGCAAGCATGGTTAGTAAGCTGCATAGTTTAGCTTAGGTTTTAAGCAATATTCAAGGTACCTAATTTGGCACTTAAAATAGTGACCCTCAAGCAGCGATTTGAGATAATTGCTATTAAAACACGAGTATTTTAGATAAGATATTAGGTATTTGTTTGTCAATGCACATGCAAGTTCATTAACTTTTAATTAAGCAAAAAGACCTCAAATGCGCTATAAAATGAGTCATCCTTCCTCTTTGCAATTAATTGAGTCACTCAAAAATAAAATGGAAAAGATCCATTTACCTTTATATGGTAGAGGATTTCCAAACAATGACGCTTTATCCCTAAATTCTTCTGCTATGTACCGGCCATCCTGAAAATCAACGTATAACACAAAGTTAACATTAATAAGGTTACTTACGATAGGTAGTACCAAAACATCTGATGTTACGTACTTCAGTATGCATATAAATATAGACACCGAGTAAAATAAAAGGTGTTCCATAGCGATCGAGGCCTATTACATTCCAAAGATCAACTTTTCGAATACAATAATTTCATATTATCTGTAATGTCTGCACAAGTACATTGAGTAAAAGTAGCAACTAGATAGACTAATTACAATAACGTTTACGTACTTAGATTAAAATGGATTTACAAACGATAAATACAATGTAGACACTGTCAAATGATTAACCTTCAATATTACGTCGTTATGGGCAACATTAAAAGATATATCTTTTGATGCGGATATTGCTCATGATTATTAGATCGTCCCGAACTTTATGCAACGATAATGAGCTTTGTTGTTTTACGTAAAATCTTGTAAAATTGTAAATTAACTTATAAATAGATTTCAATTTGACAAATAGATTGAAAACAAGATAATTAAATGTCAACATTTTAAACAAAAATTCCCCACAAAATTTGCACACCCTGTTCAATGTACAGTATGCGTCGTACATAAAAGGCTCAAAAGCTGTTCACAAATAATCGATAAAAATGAAAAAGGTGCAGTACCGATTGTCGCTTTGGCCAAATGATTTCACCGTAATATTAACCGTAGAAATTGTCTAAGAGTAGCAGTGATATATACTCAAAGGTGGCTAAACTATTTGAAAAGAACTTAATTTTTGTATTTTAAATAAATATATTACATCTATTTTATATATTGTATTTATATTAATTTTTCGTATGTATTTGAAAAATGGGTACCAAAAAAAAACAAATAAACTTAAACCATCTATAAACAACCCATAAGCGGGATACACAATGCTTAAATTAAGTTTTACTTCTAAGGTTTTATTTCAGTGAGCTTGGATAATATTTAATTGATGATGATGATAATTGATGATAGATCCTACAAGTAAAAAATAAGATGAGAGAACATAACGGTGGTGGGAAATAGCATAGCAAGCGACGGATGTCACCATCATATTAAGTATGTACTTCCTTTGCGCTGGTCAGTATACGACTTATCATAAAACAGAAAAGCCGGTGTCAGTTTTATTTTATTACGTCATTGCCAATGATAACGCTTTTCCCCCCAATCTTATCACTTTCTTTTTATCCATTTCCGTCTTTTGCTCTTTTAATGCAAGGTTCTCTCCTTTTATTTTTACTCGTAGATCACAAATATCGAATATTTTTGTATTTTTCCAAAGAGGAGACTCTCGGAGTACAACTACTCAAAACGTTCCTTTTTTTTTTAAATTATTACCGCTACCCTTCCACATTCCTCTGGTAAATTTTTAAATCCATATAGGTCGATGCCCCACATTGCAAATTCGATTGTTTATTTATCTTTTTTGAGATTTATATTGAAATTTCGTAGTGTGTTCTGCTGGGATTTGCCCTCGTAGGGGTGGGAAAGAATAACCCTACGTCCCTACCACAGAGAAATAATACCGTGTGTCGTGGAAGGAAAGTCAGTAGCGTTGAAGTTTGGAAAACGAAGGGTGTTTGTAGAATAACAATCACAAGTTTCTTCTATTTCATTGATCGGAGGTATCCATGGTGTGTGATGAACTCATAATAGGGTAGACGTAGAATAAAGTCTCCATAAGCCAGAAGATGACCGTTGGTCGAAACTAATCGCTTTAATAACGGGCGATCAAAAATGAGTTCTGATGTCGAGTCGCCTTTGGAAATTCAAGTTAAGTACGATTTCCCATGTAAACAAAAATTCCAAAGGTGACTCGACAGCAATTCATTTTTGATCGCATGGCACGTGCTTTTATAATTAAAATTAGTAAGAAATGGTAAGTAAGGTTTTGTGTTTAAATATTTTTTTTCGGCAAAACTAAATTAATTTTAATTAACAATTGCAATTATTAATTAAGGCATGCCTTGTGACATTAAAATAAAATCTAAAATCAATAGAAAAAAATTTTAAAAAAAGACAACGGCACGCGGTGTTCCCAAGCGGTCACCCATCCAAGTACTGACCGCGCCCGACGTTGCTTAACTTCGGTGATCGGACGAGAACCGGTGTTTTCAACGTGGTATGGCCGTTGTCGAAAAAATTATTATTCTAATAAGGGAAACAAAACAATTGTAGAAAACTTTCTTTTAAAAAACCCGCACACGAAAATTACAAAAGCGACGCGAATTTCGCAATTTGAGGCTTTAACCACTTTAAAAGATCGTTAAACAATTGTCGCATGCATGACTGCAAATGCCTCATGATCGCAGACGGAAGATCGAGGGGAAGATAAGTTGAGTCAAAAAAAGATGCACCAATAAACGATAGAGAGAATCCAAAACAAACCAATTCTCACTTATTTTATATTGCCTTTATACTATAACTTATGTACCTAAGTAGGTACAAATTAAAAAAATCACCGTAATTAATAATCGTTTTTTTGAACAATTTAGGGTTTAGTAATAGTTGTTCAAACGGAAATAAAATTTTTTTTCACCAATAAATTTCTTATTTTTGTCAAATTAAAGAAATAGGCACGTACATACATATAAGTTATCACTTATCAGTATATGTTTGATATGAAAAAAATTAAGACAAATAGGGAAAACCGTTATTCAGTCTTGAAAATATGGATTATAGAATACTGTGCTATAGACAAGTAGGCCGTGCGAATATATAATTCATATTTCAAGAAATTCTCAAAATTACAGTATTTAATAGAATTGATTTATATTTGATATTGATTACAGAGACATATAAGCTATAATTCTAGAGTTTAGTCCCTGTAATCAATATAAAATATAACTCAATCTAAAGCCTGAGTAAACCATGGACATTGATTTGAGCGAGATTTAAGATATAGGTACGTGAGATTCTATTAAAATACATGTTGTGAAAATGTGACAGATTTAAATCTGTGATATTCCACGGCTTGCCTGTATATTTAATCCACATTTTCAAGATTGAAAAACGTTTTTCATGTCAAACATTTTAATTAGAAAAAAATAAGGAATTTATTGGTGCATAAATGATATTCGATTTGAAAAACAGTTTGTCGCTGTGTCTTAAAAACTAAGCTATGAAACAATACCCCCTTTATTTTTTGTGAATAAGTTAGGATCCTACCCACAGATGTGTGTAGCTATCCTAGTTCTTAACATTCGCTTGAGAATGCCAAAAACAAAGTTTTGTAGATTCTAAAGGATCTAAATTTCTGGTGAAATACCCTGCGCCTTCTTAGAACATTTTAATGCAAGATACCTGTTAACCGTCCAGTACTCTTAAAACTGTCATACTAAATTTGAAAACTCATTTATGAATTTGTGGTTATCAAATAGGCCAAAGTATATTATTTTGTACTTTGAATGTCTTTATAACAATATGCTGTAACTGATTGATCCTAAAACAGCATCTTAGAGCTTTATATACCTAAAAGTAAATTTGTTTTGAAACAATTGATATTTGAAAATACAGAAGAGAAAATAAAAAACAGAAATACTTTTTTTATTTATTTTATAACAATTAGTTAGATTGGAATTTCTTAAATCCTAGATGGGTACAGCATCTGTAACAATAAAAATAAATTAGTTCAAATTTCACTTTGCAAGTTGTATAGTTTCAAAATAATGTTTTGGTCTCTTTCTCAGTGAAAAATTTTCCACATTTGTTTCAGTTTTCAAATGTCTTAAACCATCATAGAAGAGACAGACTGAATGACTACAAATTACAAAAATAACGGGCAATCAAAAAAAGGATTGTTGAATTGCCTTTGGAAGTTCAAGTAAAATATGACTTCCATGTAAACAAAAATTTCAAAGATCGACAGTAACCCTTTTTTGATCAGACAGTATTATGAAGTCCTTATTTGTGTTAATTTGAATAAGGGTGAAAAGTAATTAATAACGCTTTCGCTATCTAAATATTACGATCAGAATATTGCACCAACAAATTGTATGAAGAAAATAACATTAAAGGGATAAATTGGCTAAAAATAATGGGTGTGTTCACCAGACAGAGCACTTCATAGACGCTACCTAAAGGCGGAAGTTACTGTCTGATAGCACTGTCGAGGTATACATTCCACCGTAAATCAGACGTACAGTGGTATTTACACCTTCACAGTGCTACCACACTGCAACTCGCACGAGAAATCTTGCTAGAGTATTCCTGCCTTTTGGTAGCGCTTCGTCTGGTAAACGTAAAGCATTACTTACAATTCTGATACGACGTCCCATTGCTTTTCCGGGCAAATTTCTCTTGAATTTAGCTCTGACGGCGCCAGTACAACCGTGAGGACGGGTAACTTTACCCCAAATCGCACGCACCTTCGACTTCTTCGTTTTTGGTTTTCCGGGAACACAAGTTTTGTTTTTTGCCTTGTAAACGTAAACACACTTCTTTCCTACGTAAAACAAGCTATCATCCTTCGTACGTGCGCCTTCAACTTTCAAAAGGGCGGTATTTTCATGCTGGTTTCTAAGTCCTCTTTTATAACCTGTAAAAACTGCTTTAGCGTATAAACGTCCGTGTCGCAGGAAGGGCCGTTTCGTGATTACAGGTTTGTCTGTTGCGGGAGACTTCGGTTTCGCGGCCCTTACTTTCTTCTCCTTCGTCTTTTTAACCTCGCTCGCAGCTGTATCGGCCATCGCTAAAAACACACATGCAAAAGTAATAAGATTAATCAATCAACATCCTTTCATAAAATGGAAGCATTAACAATGTTTTTGGAAAATATTCAATAATGTGATTTAGCTTTATGTGAAACGGTATAATTTTGAACGTTAATGAGAAATTTATTAATTTTTTCCGATATTCAGAAGAAAATCTTACGTACCTACTTCGCGGATATACACAATAGAGAAATTTTATGTTGGGAAAACTAAAACCACTAACGTTGGTAACATTGTCGAAAGCACGTCATAACTTTGGTCGCATTCAACTTTCACCAACGATCTGTTTATAGGATTTTTGGAGTTGTTCGCGCAATTTTAATCAACATTGAACATGCGGTCTATATAGACTTGGGTCGGGTCAGCTCGTTCTTCATATTTATAGAAAACAAAGTGTCGGAACTGGGTACTACTTGCAATAGGAAAATGGACTCGGCCACACGTGTCAGTGTCAAATTATTTCAAATGCGAATATCGCAAAACCCGACTGTTGGAAGCGAGGTAGACACAAAGCGAAATTAATTGATCTGGACCTTGTGCCTAAATTAGTGACTTCAAAGCCAAAGCAAAGAGTAATGATTAATCTTTGATACTGGTAGGCTTTATAACGGAATGTCGGAAAAAGGATACCTATATTTGTTGATCTGGACCAGATGCATCTGTCAGAGTTAATACTTTAAAGTAAGCTGTGCTTTAAATGCGAATATCTGGAGGACAGAATGCCAAAAGGAAATCATGGCAAAAAAGATACGAAACTCTAAAATTACAGTTGCAACTGTAAATAACTCAACATAATACAGAGCTATGTGGAACTTGATGTGAGATTGTCGCCATGCGAAAGAAGTGTTCTGAAATTACTTGTGGGAATACTTTCTGGGCACTAGTAGGTAAACTAAACATAGCACATGTACCCAATGGGTTTGGTAGAATCATCGTATCTTGGAGAGGAATTAATGTCCTGTTCTAGTCCACCTGAGACCAGGGGTTGGAACCCATATGACATATAGGTTCCGGGGCCGCACTATATATAGTTAGAATTATTTTTTAAGTCTTTCGGTACCAATTCTGTGGCGTTAATAATTTACGGTTTTGGTTCCAGTTGTAGTTTTTTTTTCGAATTTTAAACGGGTTTCAACATAAATAAATAAAATCATTAAAAAAATATATAAATTATTATTAATTATAAAAAATAAATAATAACTACACAAAATTAAAGTACATTGTTCTTTTGCGTATCCATAATTGAAACTTATTTTTAGCTTATGCGTTCGTTGCACCTCTTTTAACACTCAACGTTTTTCTTTTCTTCAGCATTAGTTTCAACCATTTATTGCTGCTATCCTCATACACTCACCTCTTCAACCATCTTACTTTTTACCTCTTTTTGATTGATTTATTAGTCACTCTAAAATATTGTAACGGAAACGCTCCAGACATGACGTCGCCTTTGGCGCTCTGGAATTTTCTACGCGCGCGATAGTGGGATTTGTGTAGGAATATTCGAGAATGTACGCGGATGTTCGGGACTTACATTGCTTGCGTGTATAAATGGTTGCGGACCGAACATCGCAGCAGTTTTACTACCGAATGAGATCGAGCGCGGAAATATAAATTGCGAAGTGTGTGTGATATAAATAATCGATATAAATTGTACGGTTTTTATAGTGTTTTGGTTTTGTTTAATAAATATTGATATAAATCGAACCCGAATTTAATAAATCACGTTACAATATTTTAAGATTGAGTTAGTTGTGATAGATCGTAGTGTCCCCAAATAAGTTATTGAGGTGATCCTCTTAGCTTGAACGCATGATATATGTAGCAGGTTGAGGTCACGTCACACTACACAGTGTAACAGATATCCATCTCCATCGAGGATATAGATGCAATCCTGTTTGGGAATAACAGACTACCTCTTCTTTGAAAGCAGTATCCCATGATCTACACAAGTTAGAGTTAAAGCACCTACCCAGTTATTGCAAACAAATTGTCTAGTTCACATGTTTAAATTTGTTTACAAAACCATTTCTTCTCTTAAAAAACATCTAAAAGATGAAGAGAGAAAAAGAATGAAATAAAAAATCAATTTTGAGGTTGAACGAAAATGTATTTGAGGTGTTTATATTTATAAAGCATATTTGTGTGAAATTAGCAAATGTAAGATATGGCAACGGTAAACCCCATAGATCTCGATGTGGTAAGAGTACAAGAATGATTTTTTCATAAATTGGATTTCCAATTTTTTAGGGAAGGAACAAAGAACAATGGAGCGAATCTTCTTTTATTTGTTAAACTAAATTAAATCAATACCTAATTGATATTAACACAAACTGAAAAATGAACATTTGATTACAAAACAATGGTTTTCACGAGCCTTTATGAGAAATCATTCATCTTGTAGTCATTATACACTAATGCAACAACTGTGCAGAATCAGTGATTTTGACCTGTAAACCTAATCAGTAAGCGTACGAATCAAAATGTATATCAGAGATTTGTATCACTAATGTTTAATAAATAATATTTAATAAAAAGTATGTATGTACAATGTGTTTTGCAATATATACATAATAATGATTGAGAGTCTCATCACTGCTTTACACTCGTGTTCCAATTTACTAAGATCTTTAGTACATTTCACTAAACATTGATCAGCATCAATTAAAGTGAAAACGAAATTGGAACGGACTACCGTGGAAACCTTGAAAATGATGAAAATTAGGCATATTTGATCTACCAGATTCAGGATCTAGAGGATCTTCACCATTATCAAACTGCCTTCGTTTCTCATCATTGGTCAACACCTAAAATTTGTTTTATTAATCACTTACAGTAGGTACCATATAAGTAAACTTACTTCTTTGGCAGCCGCGATATCAATAAATTTCTTCTCTGCAATTTTTTTCATTTTCTCATCAGTTTGGTAGTTATCTGGGTGCCATTTTTGGGCCATTTTTCTATACGCTTTCACTATGTCCTTTTTTGATGCAGATCTTTTCACTTCCAAAATTTTATAATAGTCTCTTCTTTCGGACTGATGCTGCAATTTCTTGGCCCTTTCTAGCCCTTCCTTCGCTCGATCATAATGTTGGTCACGTTCCAACGCTGACTTATAGTCCCTAATGGCATCGTCATACATTTCAGTTTGAAGATACGCTTCGGCTCTATCACAGTAAATGCTCGCGTCCGAATTTAAATCTAAGGCTTCTCCACAAACGCTAATAGCCTCGGCACTTTGTTCGTCCTTCATGTAACACTTGCACAAAAGTCGTTTCCCTTCGAACATGATCATCCTTACTTCTTTCTCAACATTTAAAACTTTTTGCGCCGATGATATACAATTCTGAAAATTATTCTCTTCGATGCTAGTCTCGGCATCAGAAATAAATTTTTCCACCTTCTTGATCTTCTTGTAAAAACTAAAGCAGTCCTTGTGTTCGGGATCCAATTTAAGGCATTCTCTGATAGACTTCAAGGCATCTGTCGCATGTCCAAGCTGATACAATAAATTGGACAGCGTTAGATAGCCATGAGTATTATCCGACTGCAGCTTTGTGGACGCCCTAATGTCGGCTATGGCGGATAGGAGATCTTCATTTTCTAAATGTATTTCGGCACGAAGTTCGAATAAATCCGAAGCCCATGGACTTATGTTTATCACTTCAGATAATAACGCAATTGCGTTTCCAAAATCACCTCTGCTGTAATACAAGTCCGCCATCTGTTTCTGTTCGGTTGCGGGCTGAATCCGTTGTATTAATTCATTGGCGTCCGCGTTGTACGGATCTATTTGCAGCTGGAAAGACGTAAGTGTGACAAATTGAAATACAAAGTGAGCTATGCTAACATAACTATTGCTCTTCTAGTATAAAAACAGTCATGTCAATCATCGCAGGTGCCCACTGCAAAAGTGGTAAGTTGTACACAAATTATGCTATACATTTTCATCTCTATCTAGCCCATTATAAGAAAAACACATACGTTTTGCAGTGGGAGGCTACCTGCCACTGTTTTTATACTAGACCACGTATAAGTAATACATTTAATTACTGTATAGCAACCAATGTTTGGTGGCGTTATATGGTGCATTATAAGACAAAATTACTTTCCAAACCACTGTAAGGTCTTTTTACAAAAAAAAGGACTGATGGTTCAACATTCTGTTTGGGAAATATATCCCCTAAAAGTCCAACATTTAGTCATTTTCTCACTTAACATAAGATATATGAAGGACTAGGTAATGCCCACAATAATCCAAAAATCAAGTATTTATCTCGTAATTTGGTCCATGTAATCAAAGAATTATGACCAGCAAACATTTTGAAAGGTGTTGAGTTGTTGAGTATTGACCTCGATTTTGACTACTATAATCAAAAGTAAAAAGCATATAGAGTGCCTCAGTCAAGTAAAATTGCAGGGATGGAGAAGTTAAATGACTAATGCTTTAACCTTCGCTATGGTTTGGAAAAGTTGAAACCAAAAACTGTTGAACAGCTGGCGTACTACACCAACTATTGTCTTTTGTTTCCAAGGCATTCTAATAAAATTTAATAATTACACATTTTAATCAAAAAACGATGCAAAAGTAAGTTTTATTCACCATTATGAAAACTAAAAATCAGACTGAACCCCGTGCGTTATCACGCCTAAGTTACGGGAAAAGGTCATACAGTTCATGATACGCCATATGGTCGTGATGTTATATTCTAATCCTAATCCATTTACAATGTGTGACACAAACTACTGTACCAATGGCTATATTATAGATGTAACATGAATGTGGGTGATATTATGAGTATAAAAAACAATTGATTAAGTAGTATTTTCCTATTATCCACGATGGTAATATCACTCACAATTATTAAGACTAGTTTTTGGGCATTTTCCAAAAAATAAATTGCGCTATTACAAGCGTTTTTAAGTAAGTTCCTATTGGAGCTCACATTTATCTTAATCTCCACATGCAACAGTACCTACTAAAGTTATCCTCACAATTTCACTTGATCTGGGACACCCTATTATATATCAAAAGACAAACAAGGGATAGAATCATGGTGTACATATTTTAAAATTGGTAGAACTCGCCTTAAAAAAATAGAATTAATAGCTATAATTACTGGAAATACAGGTATTAACAGCTAGAGCTGTGTAATTTAGCCACTGCTGTACCTATCTAGAATTAACTTCAGGGAGGCAGTGTTGATAGCACTACACTCCTTAGCAACAATTTAATATTAGTTTTACGTTATAAGTGCCACAGCCCAATTTTTGGGGCTTACAACGTGGGCTCGTCGCACGGTACTCAGTGACTTACCACATTATAAAAATCCAATTGTGCTAAATCGTAATTTGCTAACTTCAGATGGAGATTTCCTCTACTAACTCTAGCCGCTAGAAAATCGGGTTTCAACTCTAACACTTGATCTAAATCACTCAGTGCATTTTTTGCCTTTCCTAACGCTAAGTACACTGTGCCTCTTTTAAAATACGTCAGATAATTCGAAGGATCTCCCTCTGTAATATACGAAACATTAATATCAGATGCAAGTCGATTAATACCTTACCCACTGCTGCGTGATAATGTGTGAGTGCGTCAGACAGTTGTCCTCTCGCTAAAAATTGTTTACCTAATTCTAGATGATTGTTAATTTCATTTTGAGTCGCAGAATTCGTAACTGAAAGTAAAGGTATCACTTTGCAATCGAGGAGGTTAAGAAATAAGGTTACCTTCGAATAGAACTTCTAAAATTAACAATAATAAATAAGGCGACGTTTTAAACCAAAAATTCTTTTGCAAAACGTCCATATCTCACAATTGCACTATCGTTTCTTACGTATATATATACTAACTGGTGTATTTTTCTTTAAATCTCTTCATCATATTTCATTAGACTGATTACCAGTGGAATAACTTCTTTTTGTCGTGGTTTCTCGTCATTGGCCCACACGTATTTATTTATGAATCTATTTAATTTGATTGGTTAATGATAATTCAAGCAAGACGTGTGCCAGCACGGTCGTTTTGTACAGATCCTTTTTTTACCGTTCACTACGTACTCAAAGTTATCGCAAGATGTCGCATCGTGTTTATGTAATCTACAGGATAGTTGGTATGGAAAGTGTAGCCATAGGGTGGTCATGTATTCTATGCGGATGTCTAGATGAAATGAAATGAACCACTCCGTTCCACACACTGTGCATGCGAAAGAAACATCAAAGTTGCAATTTGAAGTAATTATTAAAACATGGCATTTTACACAAACTAATATGAGTAAACATATTCGTAATGCACATTAAATGAACGTTCGCGTAGCCCGACGAGTCGGGTGCAGTTTTCACATATAAATAACTGGCATGGGCAGGCCCGTAGCTAGAGGGGAGGTTGAGGGAGCTTCAGCTTCCAAAATTTCACGGAACCTTCGCGCGTTGTGGAGACAGGCGCATATAGTCTGCAGTGTGAGTGATAGCTTTAGGTTTATAAATATTACTCAGTAAACTTGCTGAACGAACAAGTTCAAATGTATCCTTTTCAATAACATCATTAACAAATTTAAATATGTGATCAATCGAAAATCCAGCCCCTTCCAAATGATTTTCCTGACTGTTTTGCATAAAATTACCTTTAGTAAACTTGTATGTGCAATAAAATTAATGAGAAACGTTATACAGTGCAATGTATTAAGAAGTAGACATAGGGATTTATATGTATTGCTTTTCTGTATGTCTAGTTTTAAATGAAAGTCTCTTCTGAAGAGCGCCTAATATTATGCAACCAAAATAACTTCTAAAAACTAATACAAATCTGGCTGTCATATTAATTAATTTGAATATTGTTGTTTCCGTATTTTTATTTTCGTGCGTGTGCGATGTACATACAAGGTCCGGCAGTGAAACGGGAATATTTAAACAAACTCTTAAAGTCATAATTATTAACCGTTTTAGTGCTTGTTTACAATGAACGTATACGTAGGAAATGCATAAAACTTAAAAATTTCGCAAACTGTATAGAAACATACGAAGGTGTTTACAATGAACGTAATTTTTACGTATGTATACGTAAGCGATATGTAAGTCTTGCGCATAGTCGCAAGAGTTGAAAATGGTTCAAAATTACGTATGGTCAAAGATCATAGTACTATGTATGATTTTTGGTTTATTGTAAACAGCGAAGTAAATTTACGGAAACGGAAACGATACGGATATGTACCTACGAGTTACGGTTTACGAAATATTTACGTATACGTTCATTGTAAACAAACATTTACACAAATGTAATATAAATTAGTAGAAATTAATGATTAACAATCGAAACATGTCGTAACATTTCACAAGTATATCTGTTCGTCAATAAATAAATATCCATGGGGAAGGTTTTGAGGAATTGAGTTGTTTATTTCCTGTAGGGTTCATCACCCCATTTAGAGCATGGATCAACCACGAGTTTTTTTCTGAAATTAATGAGGATAATATGAAAATATTCATTTTTTGAAAACTATATCTGTAAGATGGCGTCCGTCGTTTCGAACACATTCTTGAAATCTATGAAAAGTCGACCTTTCGCAATTTTGTCTATAACTTTCACAGAACAGAGGGTGCTCGTTCCGTAATAAGATAAAAACGGATTGGGATTGGATTGGAGGTACAATGCGATCAGAAATGAGTTGCTGTTGAGTCGCCTTTGGAATTTTTGTTTACATGGGAAATCGTACCTACTTAACTTGAATTTCCAAAGGCGACTCGACAGCAACTCATTTTTGATCGCCCGTTACAACGTCGTTAGAAAGAATTTTAAAAGATCTCGGTTTCAAGTGGCGCCGATCTGAAAACAATAGAAAACTCATAGAGAAGAACGATATTCTAGCTCTAAGGATTGCATACTATTACAGCGAATAAAGTATTATTGATATTTAAAACGGCCCATTGTGTACATGGATGAAACATGGTATACGTTCATAATGGACACACGATGTCAAAATCATGGAGTGATGGTAGTGTAATAGGACAACATTTCAAAAGGAAAACGAATGATGCTGGTGAAATGGGTTTCTTGGACAACTGTAGCTTGGCGCTTAACTCAGGAACAAAAACTGGAGATTACCATGACGATTTATGAATTTCGCAAATTAGGAAAAATAGTTACAGGAGAAGCTTTTGCCGAATCTTCCACCAAGTTCAGATAATAATTCCAATCATTCCAAAAAAGAAGAAATGTTGAACTTATCGGACAAAAATGTGCCATTTTTACTACACAATTGATCAAACCGCAGTTGTACAAAATAATTACTTAAACAAAATAAAACGTATAAGTTTAATGTCTTGCTAACTAAAGAAAATCACAAGATACTTATAGTCTTCCACCTTATCACCCGAATTGGAAGCTATTTGAATTAATATGGACACAAATAAAAAATAACGTCGAGAAGAGAATCGTCACATTTAAATAACGATTATTATTAGAAAAAGAAGTTGAACTGTTTACCCAGGACCGCTGGCGAAATTGTTGTACTTAAACAAGTTATTGAGATTAAAGACAATTACGTAAGAAATGAACATTTTGTAGACAGACGATTAATTAATCTTCCTTACTAAATGTATACAGGGTGGTGACTAGTGTAACGTATCATAGGGATTTCAATGTAGAACTCATAACATGCGATTATTGGCCCCCCAAATTATTTTAGAGCAAAAATGTATTAAGGTTTTTTCTAGAAAAATTGAATCAATTGACATTAAGACTCATTACGATAAATATAGAATTTTTTTTCTAATCTCTGCTTGTAACCGCTAGGTAATAAAACCAGTTCACCTCTTTCTATAACACTTTGTGCTATAAATAAAGCTTTGTATTTCGCGGCATGCGATAAAAAGTTAAAGACAGTTAATTGGTGCATTTACCCACAGTAAAACCTAATTAATAAACTGGGGCAAATTAATATGCAATATATTGGTTCCTTAAGCCTGGCTACTTGGTCACTCTAATAATCAATCTGGTAAAATCCGGCACGTTTGGAGTAATTATGGTATAGGTAACTCCCTTTTTGTAGCATTACTAAGGGGATGTACCCATACTCTATCTCTACCCTAATAATCATCAGGTACTTCCCGTCACTTTTGAATGATTGTTCTGATCATATACAATTTTTTTGGTGAGGTTCCTGGGACAGTTCGAATGTGCATAATGAATTAATTTTGTTTAGTCAACGTTTTTATGGACTTTGGACAGAACCATTATGGTCTCTGCTACTATACCAACGCTATTTTAAAACATTGTTAATCATTTCGCTTGGCAAAAGTATTTATAAACCTTGGTACTACAAACAATAAGAAACAATTCAGTATTCATATATTCTGAAAAGTAAAAGTAAAAGGTAGGTAGGAAATTGAGGACCAAATAAAAATATGGCTGAAACATTCACCTAAAAACCGTGCTGTAGAATTAGAAGAACAGAAAAAAAACCAAAACTATGAGTTCCAAAGGCAGTGGTGAAGGGGCAGTTTTATAGAAAGTGAGAAAACAGATAGAGCAATTGTTGCATAATTATGTTAACTGATGGTATTGATGTCCAAATTGTAAGTAGTAAGGATTTTTGTACTAAAATCTTCTACCAGTTCTGTTTGCAATGCAACTGTCCCACCATTACAATATATTTGTTAAACATATAATTATTGAGGTGTACTGCCAAATTCAAAAATAACAACTAAATATATTGAAAACTGTAGGAGTAGTTGAGGCCTCGGACAGATGACCGGACAGACAAAGAAAGTGACTGTAATACTGCACCCAAATCCAACCTAAAATGCGCTAAAAAAAATTGTATACAATATGAATAAATAAGTATATTGAACACTATATACAGATAAGAGGGGGGGGGGGGGAGATTTCCGTATGACCATTCGCAATTACAAAGTTCTAATCGATAGATAACTTTCGAAAAGATCCCTCCAATCCTAAATCTTGACTGTAATTGTAGCTAGATCGAAGGGTCTGGTCGCATGAATAGTTGTCATCCTCTATAAACCAGTCCCTGTAACTTTTAAATTTCCTAGACCATTCGTCTACAATCCAATTTTTAGGAAGGAATTACAATGAAAGAGATTCGTGGTAAGTTTACCCTTAAGATAGTTTAATGGTAGGTTATCGCCACCGTATTCCAAAGGAAGTAGTGAAAGTATATCATTACCAACAGCTTCTTTCCAGCCTTGTACCGGTAGAACGAAAACCTGAAAAAGCGTTTATAGGTAGGTACTCTTTGGTAGTGCTATGTGGTGGCATTTCTTACCCTCTTTTTAAGTTTGTCGCTGAAAAATGGCTTAACTAGGGTGTTATATATTACTTCCACGGGTTTTGGAGTATTAATAGTAATCAGCTTGTTAAGTCTCATGGGATACATCCTATCAATGCACGTTGCACAATTTTTCATGAACGCAGGTGTACATTGTAACACATGTCCCGCAGTAATCCCTGCGAAATCTATTATTATTTGTAATCCAGAAATAACAGCATTGTCGTCTTCTATCAGTAACATGTCAAAAGCAGAGAAAATTGTTTTAGATGCCGTCACCATCGATATTGCTTCGTGAAAAGTAATAAACAGGGTTCTTGGCCCAGCGTGTCCTTTTCCATTTGGTAAGAGTGCAACCAAACTGAATTTCAAATTATTGATTGCAACGGTTTTTCTCACCCACTTACCCGGTCCTAAGCACTGCTTGCATTTCCTCTGATAATGGATCTCTCCTTCGAAACATTTCCGGAATCAGTGTTTTAAACGTGTAATAACCATCAATTTTTTGTTTAGCTCTTGCAAGACTCCATTTACATCCACGAAGGAAAGCAATTAAGTGTTGGTAATCTAAAAAAAATTGCAGTAAATAGGTATTATACTGCCATAAGCAGAATCCAAACAAAGATAGGGTTCTTCACGCTTATATATCGATTACTATTTATTAAATGAATTTCAAATTGAGTGTATAGTTGTGGTGTCCAACCCCCACAATTTTGACAACACACCAACACGATCCTTTGCTCAGGAATATTCGCCCTCGACGCCCTCGTTATATATTTGCCCCCAAGAAAACTTTCCTCAAGGTAGATTCACCACCGCAATCTTCATTCTCGCTCTGATGGTAACTGGCGTTGGAACAAAAGATGCTTTTAGTAAAAGCAAATGTATCGCATATTGTAAACATCGGATTAATGTGCGCGTACGCAGGATTCGTAATATCAACTCTCCTATTTATCGAGATACCTTTTTGAAATTTTAACTACAGAACATCAAAGAATAAGAATAATCAATGTCACCATAACAATCTAACAAAATCAACGCTAATTCAATTCTCCACAAACTCCTTTGACCACAATTCACCCCAAAACGTGACCTACACTAAGAATTTACACTCTTTGGAAAAATTTTTGAAAAGGAGTACCTATCTCGAAATCAAAAATCTTATAGAGCTGGTTTTGCGTTTAAAATATCACCATTGCCTTGGATTGTGAAGAGAGTGAGGATGAATGATTTGCCCAACTTGAAAAAAGGTATGGGCAATCAAGACAATGTTTGGTATTCTAATTAAGGTGATAACCAGAACGAACTGATTCTATTCTATTCTATTCTCAGGGGAGCCCGACCGGGCAGCACTTAGGCACATCAGAGGCCCATTGTGCCTACCCCCTTTCTTCGCAACTGAGTTCAGAGCCCGTTCCTCTCAATGAAGGATAGGACCCTGTTTAGCCTAAGTTGCTTCACCCTCCTCGGTTCCAGGTATCTGTCTCCAAGGAGTTGATATCTGTCCCTGATCAAAGCGTCACAGTGACAGACCAAATGCTCGGTAGTTTCATCTGCCTCGCCACAGAACCTGCACGTGGACTCTTCCGCGAGCCCAATGTTATGCAGGTGATAGTTGACCATCCAGTGTCCCGTAAGGACACCGGTGATCTTCCTAATCTGGCTTCTATTCAGTTTTAGAAGCTTAGAAGACCCCGATTTGCCAAGGGGCCCTGTTAGAAAGGCCTTGGACTGCCGGAGTCCGGTTACTTGTTGCCACTGAGCCTGGAATTGACTGGTCAACCAATCTTTAATCCTGGCCCTAACAACGGAGGGAGCAATCCCTAGGGTAGGCTCGGGCCCGACGAAGACTCCACCACTGCCTTCGCGAGCCAACTCGTCCGCCCTTTCGTTGCCCCCTATTCCGCAGTGCGCTGGCACCCAAATCAAGCTTACCCTATTAGACTCACCTAATCTATCTAGGGTTCGCCTGCAATCAAGCGCCGTAGCTGATCGGAACCTGTCTACCGACAGGGCCCTCAACGCCGCCTGACTATCGCTGCATATGTAGGTATATATATGCTTATTGCGGTAACCTCTACGGAGGTTTTCCTGTGCACAGGTCATGATGGCTAACATCTCTGCCTGAAACACGGTGCTATGCTGACCAAGGGAGACGCTGACGCTGGCTCTCGGTCGATCACCATATATACCCATGCCCGTTCCCCTTTCTGTTTGGGACCCGTCTGTAAACCACACGAGCCCCTCAGGTTTGAGGAACGGGCAATCCGAGTTCAGCCACTGCTCCCTATCCGGGAGAATGACTTTATAACGCTTTGGTCTTAGCAAGATAGCCCGGATCACGTCCCTCCTTGCGAGGAGGGGATCGGTCCTGAGGGTTTCCTCCCAGATCCGCCCGTGCCCAAGGCTGCCTCGATCCTTCCATTCATCCCAATCGTTTAGCCGTATGGAAGCTTTCCGAGCCTCTGCCTCCACAGCTAAGTGTAAAGGCTCTAGGCCCAGAAGTGCCTCCATGGCCAAGGTTGGCGTGGTTTTTAGGGCTCCAGTGACTCCCAGACAGGCGAGTCGTTGGACCTTTCCTAGCTGCTTCCTGTAGGTTACGCTGCGCATGGCAAGCCACCATACAAGTGCACCATACAGTATTATTGGCCTTATCACTGCAGTGTAAAGCCAGTATACCAGTCGAGGGTTCAAGCCCCATGTACAACCAAAAGCCCTTCTACATGCCCATAGACATGCAGTGGCCTTTTTGCTTATGCGCTCAATGTGCCCTTTCCAGGTCAGGCGGGAGTCAATGATGACTCCCAGGTATTTCACTGACCTGGTCAGACCCAGTTGACGTCCTCGAAGAGCGAGTCCAGCAAGATCCGCTCTCCTTCTATTCGTGAATGAAACAACCTCGGTCTTTTCCGGGTTAACGGAAAGGCCATGGCTACTGCACCACCTATCCACCTGTTCGAGAGCCCCCTGCATGAGCTCTTTCACGGTGTTTGGAAACTTCCCAGTTATGACGATCGCGAGATCGTCCGCGTATCCCCGTGTATACGCTCCCCCCTCATTCAAGGTGCGGAGGAGCCCGTCTAGTACCTACCAGGCACCACAGAAGTGGAGACAACACCCCACCCTGCGGACATCCTCTAGTAACCGATGAGCTCATCTCCGTCATCCCAATTGAGGATATAATGACTCTGATGCTTTCGAGCATGGCTCGGATCCATCTTACGATCGACCCATCAATACCAAAGCTCTCAGCAGCCTCACTAATCGAATTGAACGTGGTGTTGTTAAACGCACCCTCGATATCTAAAAACGCTCCCAGAGCTATCCCCCCGGAAGACATTCCCTTTTCCAGCCTGCACACCAGGCTGTGTAGAGCCGTCTTCGTGGACATACCAGCCCTGTAAGCATGTTGGAACGAACTGATACACGTGCACGTATCAAAACATTTGCAAAAACTATAGATAAATGCTCCAATATGAAGAAAAGTTTCGCTTCCATATGAGAGAAGAAGTAAAGGAGCAGAAGAAGTGTATAATTTTGGAAATTTGGAAATCAGACTTGGCCCTTCCTCAAGTAAATAACGTATAGGCTTAGTCTGAACTAACCATCAGCCTTTAAATGATTGTGTGCCATCCACTCAGATTAAATATTTACCGAGAAGATTTTTAATAATATTAATTTAATAATATTAGACAGTTTTGATCACAAGTATAGGTACCTCGCATTTTAGAACATGAGTCGAGCTTCTTTAGCGGATTTGCTATTGCGTTGAATAGTTTAACAGCGATTGGATAATTCAACTTGTATCTGGGGTTATTTTTCATGTCTAAAGTAACTGCTTACCGTTTCTGACCTGCAAATGCCGTTGCTTCCTTAACCATTCATCAAAAGCTTCAAGAGTTTCTCTAGTTCGCTTAGGGTCTTCATTTAATTCCTTTGCCGCTGTGTCACTCAGTTTCTCGGAAATGGCACGTATGGATTGTATTTTAAGGTTCATCGTGTCGGAAAGACCACACTGTGGATTGCTGAAATTTAATAGAAAAATAAAATGGGAGTATGTTGAAACACTACCTACTGTCTGCGTAAAGGCAGACGACATTTCAAAAAATTGAATACTTAAAGTGCCTTTACTACCTTGAATTTCAATGGCTCAATTCAAGGGTAATTTTATTGTGTGACAGTTTCGATGTATCTTCCCTATCCCATACATTACATACAATACAATAGTGATACACATTAAAAACAATTGTAAGATTTCAACTACATGAAAGTAAATATGCAGGAAATTGTGATTAAATTTTCACAACGAAAAGGGTATAAACCTGTCGTCTCTATTTACAGTACTTACCTTTGAATATAGTGTATGTACCTAGGTACACAGTAGAGTTGGACCGAACCACACGGTTGTAAATGCTTTACACTTACACCAAGCAGTGCGCACCTACAGCTCTGTACAAAATAAAATAAAGTACTATAGTACTATACTTTGACTCTCGCTTTCACTACTGCCTTTTCTGTAGTTCCTAGCTTTGAATAAAAAATCGTAAAGATAATAAGGTCATGCAATATGCGATTATTATTTTTTCTGACAATTTCAAATGAGCTCATTAACAATATTACGTCACAGTAGAGATTCGTCATAAATAAAGCTATGTACCTACCTATCTCCTAAATTTTAAGTATATAAATGATATACATGTATACCACAACAAGGAAGAAAAAAAACAAAAGGGTCAATTAGCGCGTCGCCATGGCAATCTCGAATCTCGGTTATCTTAAGAGATAGCTCACCTACTGTTGAAATTGGGACAAAGTCCTAAATGCTCGTTTACGAATTGGTCTAGTTTAATTTTTCATAATTGATTATGTAAACAAATTAATTAATATAACATAAATCGTGCAATATCAATAATACTCCGGTTAGGTCATTTTGACTATTTGTTTGCTGCCCCCCCCCCCCCCCCCCCAATCGATACGGTAATAACAGCTTGGCTTAATTCTGGAGCTAGCCTTATATAGTCTAGGCGATGGAGACTGTAAAATTGGCAAACTGGACATTTTGAGGTGGAAAAGAAAAAATGGATGGAATATGTTCAGTTAGGTGTCAGTAACAACGTATTAAAAATCCCCCCCCCCCCAAGACCATGTGCTAAAGGCTCCAGCCACCCCATCACTCCCCAGAAACCGTGTTTTCGCCCTTTTTGGCTGATATCTCGCGATCTATGAGGTCTAGATGAAATATTTTTAGCTGAAAATATTTCTTGTAAAATTCTAGTCTAACCGTTGAGTGTTCACTCAACGGTCTAACTGAACATATTCCAACAATTTTTCTTTTTCGCCTCAAAATGTCGAGTTAGATGTCTTTATCGCCTAGACTAAAATAGAGCATCATATAATATACGACGTGTATATCTTGCCAGGGACAGGGACTTAACCATTACAGTGATCGAGAGCACATTATATAAAACAATTTCTGCATTAAGATCTATAGTGCCACACTTTATTAACGAGCTCCTAGCGAGATTATACCTAATTTTGCGGTGTCTGTCCGCCCGTCCGTCCGTCCGTTAGCACGATAACTCATAAACGAATGGACCGATTACGATGAAATTTTGCAGGTGGATTCTTTATCAAATTTGTAGATTTGTAGAGTTCATGAATTGGCAATGTAGACCAAAAAATAAAGTAGGCCCTTTTGACATCTGCATTAGTTATGAACCGAATTGCATGAAATTCAATATGCGCATAGCTTTAGCCATATAAAACACAATTTTAAAAGTTGAGCCTAATCGATCAGTATTCACAGTGCCCTTTGCGCATCTCGACCATTTACAGACCGAATTGCAAACTTTCTTATATATGAAGGTATGTAAATGAAATTTGATACATAGCCTCTTGGAATAAAAGCAAATTTAATGCCAGTTTCAAAATTTGGTTTTGCGCATTAGCGCATACGCAGTGCCAACTTTCCTTATTTATGGAGTAGCGTAGGCGGTACAAATTTTTTCGCTGCATTTTGTGACAAAAGCATGAAACTCGGTACACGTGTTCATTAGGTCCAAATAAAACTTTTGACCCGCAGCACCCACCGAAATTTTCGTGTGGGTTCAAAATTTGAACACTTTTGTTCAAAACGGTGTTCAAGATTTTAAACCTGTAAAAATTGACGAATTTCGCCATGCTAGGGGTCGTTTTTGAATGATTTAGGGTCGCTGGTGCCAATGGCGGCATTAAAAAAGTTGCATATCTGACCCTTAGGCCCCAAATTTGGAGTATTTTCAAAATAATGGTTAAATTTTGAATTTGATAGTTTTAACCCTGCGTGATGTTTCGGATGTCGATTCCAGCTAATTTGGACGTGCACTACTAGCTAGAAATATTATATTGAAGTGAAAACAGTTTCTGGTGTGTAAATAGGCCGTTAATCGTTCAATAATTTATTCAAAATTTGGAAATTCCATACTTGAAGGATTTTGCCGTTCTTGGTGTCGTTTCCATATATTTTGTGGTTGCTTATGCTGATTTTGTATTCAGAAAACAGATGCGACTCATAGTTAGGCCCTTTTCATACTATTTTACCTATTAAGAGGGAATGTTCGGCGCAGTCATATACCTTTGTTGCCCCGGATTGCAACAACTATTAAATGACAAAGAAAGACGAAAGAAACTGGCATTTCATTAAGATTCGGAAGTGGACATGTTCTCTGATGGGATATGCCGCCTATGCTTCCATTATTGCCCTCTCGGCATCGTTTGTTGGGAAATCTGTACTTCCAGGCAGTCTTGAGCTCACTCCACGACAAGTAACATCACGCAGCGAGCAAGTTCCGTCCGACTTGTGCCCCTTGAAGCAAGAGTGTCGCCAGCTGATGGCCCAAAGATAGGCAAGTTGACATATGAAGGATAAAAAAATTATTAACTGTAGGTATAGTGCAGAGCACATAAACTTTTACTGTTTTACTGTCTTACCTCTACAACCACAATAATTGTAATAAGGAATTATCGATCAAGAAAACCAAGACACTTTGGTTGCTTTGCATTTTGCTACTTTTTTTAATCTCTAGACGGGGGCAGCTTCCCTTCCCCGCCCCCTCTGGCGACGCCCTCTCTTTGAAGTGAGGATATCGCAGCGATACCGTGAAACGCCATCGATGGCGACGCAGTGCCTAGGTGTTCCCAGAAGTCGCCGAGGCAGCCACCAAAGTCCATCAGACGGCGGGCGATACGATTACGACCGCGAGTCACAGGCGTTTGCTTTGCTTCGAAGCCGGCGTTATCAATGCTTATTGTAATTGGCGCATCATTTCTAATTACTGGATGAAAGCGGTATTTGGTTGGTGGAGGTGGCGTTTCATTATACAGAGTGTTTTTTTGGGAGCTTTAGTTAAACGTTTCTGTGAAAGTAAAATAGGTAATTTTTAAAAATTTGTACCTACTTAGGAGTTACTCTGAAGGACGAATCGATGGAAAATATTTTCGAAATGGTGGCACTTCCGGAAATACCGGAAGTAGTTAGTAACTTCGTTATTTTAAATAACCACCCCTATTTTTTATTGCATTTTTGGATTCAACGTGAAATTTTAGTTATTTTGATACTCACATGTCGATATCAATCGTTTTACCTATGGTTTTTAAATTATTTTAACTTTTAATAAAAATTGGCGGATACAGACGATACCTTGAAAATCGATTGGTTGTAGTTATGGCAACCCATTTTTACCAGTCCATATAGGGAAAGAATGGTGGTTTCTCTAGTGTACTTAAAAAAAGTTATATTACGTCCGACCCACCATGGTCCGACCGCATATTAATCGACAAGATTTTTCTTGACTCAGGCACCAGAGCTATAATCTACCGAATTAAAAAAAAAAAACTAAATATATTGAAAATTATAATTTATAAGGGTAGTTAAGGACTCGAACGGATGGACAGACATAGGTGGTGGCTGCAATAACGCACTCAACTGCGTTGGAAAATGCGCCAAAAATTATAATAATGGGTAATAACGTAGGTATATTTAGCAAGTTTTACAATGCCCAGGAAGTGGAGGGGTAGATTTCCGGACATTCACTGCGTATGACCACCTACAACTCACAAGTACCAAAGAGTATACAACGTTATATACTCTTTGCAAGCACTAATCTATAGATAACTTCCGAAAAGATCCCTCCATTCCTAAATCTTGACTGCATGTGTAGCTAGAACGATAGGTCTCGTCGCACGAATAGGTGTCATCCTCTATAAACCAGTCCCTGGTAACTATTAAATTTCCGAGACCATTCGTCTACAATCAATTTGTTTAGGAAGGAATAAAGAGATTAATACGTTTACCCATAAGATAGTTTATGGGTAGGTTGTCGCCTCCGTATTCCAAGGGAAGTACTTAATGAAAGTATATCATTGCCAATAGCTTCTTTCCATCCTTGTACCGGTAAAAAGCAAACCTGAAAAAAGTGTGTAGTTAAAATGCATTACTCTTCGGTAGTGCTATATCTTAGCATATTTTACCCTCTTTTTAAGTTTGTCACTCAAAAACGGCTTAAGTAAGGTGTTATATATTACTTGTAGGGGTTTTGGAGTATTTATACCAATCATTTTGTTAAATCTGATGGGATACATCACATTAACGCACATTGCAACCTTTTTCATTAACGCATGTGTAAATTGGTAACAAATGTCCCGCAGTAATCCCTTTAAAATCTACTATTATTTGTAATCCAGATATAACAGCATTGTCGTCTTCTATAATTAACATGTCCATAGCAGAGGAAAATATTTTACACATCGTCCCCACCGATATTGCCTCGTGATAGGATAAAAACAGAGTTCTTGGCCCGGCGTGTCCTTTTCCAGTTGGTAGGAGTGCAACCAAACTGAATTGCAAATTGATGGATTGAAACAGTTTTTGTCACCACCTTACCCGGCCTTAAGTGCTGCTTGCATTTCATCTGATGCAGGATCCCTCTCTCGGAACAGTTCCGGAAGCAGTGTTTTAAACGTGTAATAACCATCAATTTTTTGTTTAGCTCGTTCAAGACTCCATTTACACCCACGAAGGAAAGCAATCAGGTGTTGGTAGGTAATCTAAAACAATTAACATGGCACAATTAAAATTAATAAATGAGTAAATAGTGATTTAGTACTTTTCATAAATTTGGACAGCACACCAAGACGATTGTAGGAAAACTCGCCAAACTTACTTTTTTTCCAAATAAACCGAGGGTTTAATGTGTTTAGTTTGGTAGCCACCCTCAAGAAAGTGGTGAGATTAGCATTTCTTCTTTAATTTTTTTCTCGTCAACCATAAGAGCTACAAAGACTTGGTGGCACGTCTTTGAATAGGTTTCGGGGTATGTCATTTCCGATTTTAAAAAGCAAATTTCAAAATTCCTACCACGAAAGGGGCACCCCTAAATGAGGATGCGAAAAAAAGTTCTGATTTCGATGAAATTTGGTATCTGAGTCTGGTGGTTTTTGAACATGTAATAATAATAATAATAATAATAATAATAATAATGGAAAAAGACAACTTTTAGATTATGAGCTAGAACAGGGTAATTTAATAAATTTCCATGACGAGAATGAAACTTATAAGTATCTTGGTTTTCAGCAAAACACACACATTAAACATACGAGTATAAAAACAAACACTTATCACAGCAATACCTACAAAGAGTACGCAGTATACTTAAAACAAAATTACACGGTAGAAATACAATCAGAGCTATTAACACTTATGCCACACCAGTGCTTACATACTCTTTTGGGATTATACGTTGGACAAATACAGATTTAGAACAAATACAGAGAAACACACGTACACTATTAACAAAACACCATATACATCACCCTCACTCCTTACTATACGACTTTATCTTCCTCGTTCGGAAGGAGGTAGAGGACTTACAGATATAAAAATATTGCACCAAACACAAATACACAATTTGCGACAATACTTTTATAACAAAACAGATACTTCAATCCTACACAAAACAGTAACATATGCAGACAAATCTTACACACCACTTAACCTACACGAAACTAATATACTCCCACCTCCATCCAAACTTACATACATCACAAATAACATACAGACATGGAACCAAAAGCCGTTACATGGACGATTTCCGCAAGAGGTTAGTCAGGATTGTATTGATTCTATAGCAACGCACACTTGGTTGTCTGAATGTGATATCTTCCCGGAGACTGAGGGTTTCATGTTAGCAATACAAGACCAGGTCATTAATACACGCAACTATAAAAAACACATAAGTACATAAAGACAAAACAGTGACAAACGATTCTTGTCGACTCTGTTCACAAACATCAGAAACAATCCAACATATAATATCGGCATGCACACGACTTGCACAAACTGAATACAAACATCGACACGATCAGGTAGCTAAAATCATACATCAAAAATTAGCACTTGAACACAATCTCATAACAGATAAGACACCATACTACAAATACACGCCACAGATCATACTTGAAAACAACACACACAAATTATATTGGGACAGGACACTACTCACAGACAAAACTATCCACAATAATAGACCAGATATTACACTTATAGATAAATCACAAAAATCCATTTGTATTATAGACATTGCCATACCCAACACTAACAACTTAACTAAAACACATGCAGAAAAACACCGCAAATACACCGATATAGCTATCGAGCTTAAGACGCAATGGAGAATTAAATCTACTGTTATAGTTCCCATTATTCTTAGTGCTACCGGAGTTATACCAAAGACAATACACCACAATTTACAACTATTAGGTTTAGACAAAAACACATACAAAAATTTACAAAAAGCAGTCATTATCAACACATGCCATATTGTTCGTAAATTTCTAAACATAACACAAGATACGACATACACAAATGATCCACAACGTATACATGTAAACAACAGCACTCGCTCACAACACGGTACACAACATACTGTAATATCTCCACGTCTAACCCAAACAAACACACAAATACAACTTACCGAACAAACAAGTACAACAAATGATACAACATATACTACATTCAGAGATTCACCTCTGAAGCAAACCACATTATCACAACCCATTAGTATTCAGCCCAAACGCAAAAGCCTAAACAGCACTTTAGACTCACAACATGACACACAACATACTGTAATATCTCCACCCTTAACTCAACCAACCACACAAACACAACTCCCTGAACAAACAAACGCAATAAATACAAGTAACGCAACATGCACTACAAAGACGCCCTCACTCAATAAAGTTACACGGCCTAGCACAGCTAAAAAACACAATACTCTTTCTTCTCAGAAACACACCACGTTATCACAACCCACTCGTACTCAACCCAAACGCAGCAACCTTAACAGCACTAGAGGCTCACAAAATACCGTAATGTCTCCACCAATAATCCAAGCAACAACACAAATACAACCTCTAGAACAAAGAAACACCATAAATACAAGTAACGCAACTTGCACTACAAAGACAGGTCCACCCAATAAAGTTACACGTCCTAGCACAGTTAAAAAACGCAATACTCTTTCTTCTCAGAAACAACCCACTCGTATACAACCGAAGCGCAAAAACCTTAACAGCGCCACAGGCTCACAAAATACTGCAATATCTCCACCAAAAACCCAAGCAACACACAAATACAACCTCAAGAACAAAGAAACACCATAAATACAAGTAACGCAACATGCACTACAAAGACAGGTCCACCCAATAAAGTTACACGCCCTAGCACATTAAAAAACACAAAACTCCTTCTTCACAGAAACACACCACGTTATCACAACCCACTCGTATTCAACCGAAACGCAAAACCTTAACAGAACTACAGCTCACAACATACTGTAATATCTCCACCAAAAACCCAAGCAACCTCACAAATACAACCTCAAGAACAAAGAAACACCATAAATACAAGTAACGCAACATGTACTACAAAGACAGGTCCACCAATAAAGTTACACGCCCTAGCACAGTTAAAAAACACAAAAGTCCTTCTTCACCTAAACACACCACGTTATCACAACCCACTCGTATTCAACCCAAACGCAAAGCCAAAGAAACACTTACACAATAAACTCTATTTAATAAAATTACAGGAATTATTATAATGATTTTTTTTTTTTTGTTTTTTTTCTCTTTCCTGATAGCGTTGGCTATTGTGCCCATTAATAGCTATGTTGGTAAGTATGAATTACATACTATCCGTAGATTTCCAATGCGAGTGTGTGAATATTTTTTTTTTATTTTTTTATTTTTTTTTATTTTATTTATTTTTTTTTTTTTCTTTAGAACCCTACATAACTTCACCAGACACAGACACTAATCGTTACTTGATTTTAATCCGTGCGATTAGTTAACCAGGCTAGACCTGAGTTCTCACAAGAAACACCGATAATAATAATAATAATAATTAATAATAACCCACTCGTATTCAACCCAAACGCAAAGCCAAAGAAACACTTACACAATAAACTCCATTTAATAAAATTACAGGAATTATTATAATGATTTTTTTGTTTGTTTTGTTTTCCTCTTTCCTGATAGCGTTGGCTATTGTGCCCATCAATAGCTATGTTTGTAAGTATGAAATACATACTATCTCTAGATTTCCAAAGTGAGTGTGCGTGAATTTTTATTCTATTTATTTATTTTTTTTTTTTAGGACCCTACATAACTTCGCCAGACACAGACACAGACACTAATCGTTACTTGATTTTAATCCGTGCGATTAGTTAACCAGGCTAGACCTGAGTTCTCACAAGATATACCGACCATAATAATAATAATAATAATGTAGGTAATAACGAGTGATTTTATTTTGGACAGAATTTTGTTTTGAAAAATTTGTGTTTTGTCATTTTGGCGTAAAGTAGCGTGTACATTCAGGTGGTTGTCCCATTTAGAATTTTGAAATTATTTAAATTAGGGCGACGCAGATTTTCGCTGGATACTTCGGATCATTAGAAATATTTCCCCACAAAACTGTTTTCTTTGTGAGAGTCGTGACCAGTTTCATTACGTCATGATATTAATATTGTTTTCCATACCATGATGTTTTCCTTTGATGTAGTATATAATCAAAGGTGTTTTCTTTGTTCCTTAATGGTTGGAGTCGCCACATTGACGGGAAGCCGTCTCAGATAACGTACGTTTTTATGAATGGTTTCTCTTACAAATCTTATTCTGCAAAAATCCTTGAACGAACATTTTGTGAACCCCGAACGTAAATTTTCATTACGACGATGCAGTTTTAACTAGCCAATTAGAGAGCTCACATCCAGAACCATCTTTGATAATTCCCACCATGGGGCGTATTTTTTTCCTTTGCACTCCAGAGTCCAGAGAGGGAGACGATTTTCAGGACATTCGGTGTTTGTACGTGAGGTTGATAGCACGTACTTCGAGAGATTCTGACGATAGTACCTTTTGTCCTTTTAGGCGGACAGCTTTTGTCGTTCGCTTTCTATTGCGTGCTTTAAGCACCCGATAGTTTTTTGGCAGCGGCTTTTTGTAGCCCATATTCAGTATTTCGATTGCGATTGGATATCAGTGCCTTTTTAGATGCATTGTTTTTTGGAGCACCCTATTTGGATATCAGTGCCTTTTTAGATGCAGTGCTATTTGGATATCAGTGCCATTTGGGATATATAAAATTTTCAAGTGCCGATCGTTTTTAATCGTGTACATACAGTTCATGCGAGATCGCCGATCGGGAGATTTATTTTCCATTCACCAGCAAAAATTGGAGTCGTATTTACGTTCAGGAGTTACAGACCTTGGCCACATTCCGTCAGCACCGCGAGGAGTACCTACCCGTTTCTTATAAACTTTGTTGGTTTCGGGAAAAATAATTTTTTATAATACAAAAGTTATGGTACATTGTCTGTAAAAGGAGTTCCCAAAACAAACCGAGTTTTTTCTGTTTACAATATTTTGGATGCTGTGTCTTTAAACCTTGCACGAGAAACTGTGTTAACGAAATTGCGAGAGGGATTTTCCTACACCATTGATAGAGTGTTCAAACATACCTACGTAAAATTTTGTACTGGTGAATGTGAGTGCCAGTTTAATATTTGGATACCAACCAACAAGAATCAATTGCCGACGGGAAGATATTCAAAGAGTCAATACCACCCTTCCATAACGAATTGCCGGAATTGAGGCCATCTCCGAGTCAGAATCATCCCATGGAACAGACATTGCAGTTCTAAAGTTATACCACTGTTAGGTATATCAAGATCATCACCATCACCAATTGAAAATTGTATAAGGTCAGTTAAGTTATTTTGCTATAGAATTAGGAACAACGCCTTTATAATCTTTGTAGTAAAGATCAAATCATTTTAATATAAAGAGTCAAAAAACCAGATTATAAAGGGCCTAGCGCGACGCTGCATAGGGATTTCCATGGTAATTTCTTTATAGCCAAATTATTTTAGAGCAAAAGTCTAAATACTTTTTTTTGAGAAAAAAAATATTGCATCTGTTCATACTATTACTAATAATTTTCCGTTTTTCAAAACCGTAGAAATCGACAAAATAAGAAGGTAGGTACCTACATTTTACAATAAATCAGATATGCCTTGGAATTACCTAAAAAACAGCGATAACTTTTCATCATATGCCTTTGATGTATATTAAATTTATACTGGTTTATAAATTAGTTAATCATAAAATGGTTTATCATCTATTTCTGAAGAGAAAGTGGAAATGTTAAAGCTGTTTTATGCCCGCCAAGTATAAATGTCCTTATTTACTGTGGAGTAACCCAATCGACCAATTCCAAGCAGTACCACAGTCGAGACCACAGTAGACAGAATTGTGCGTAAGTTTTAAAGAACAAGAACAGTGTTAAATCACTGCAAGTCCGTCAAAACTACCAGGAAAACGACAATACATTCAACGTTTTGGCTGCAGTTAGCGGAATATCCGAATATAAGTTTAAGAACAATTCCTCCTCAAATCAATTTCTTTTTCTTCGATTATGTACTCTGGTTCCGGGAAATGATACACAAATAGTATCTGATGCAGATGCAGCATTGCATTCTATAGAAATCATTATTCCATAGATGCTTTTTCTTGCGTCGATTAGTTGAAACAGAATTAAATATGAAAATCGTTCGACATCAAACAGATACGATGCGCTTGTAGTTTGAAGCATCACTGATTTATAAAAATGTAATTTTTTATTTATTATTTGGTGGATTTCTACGGTTTTGAAAAACGGAAAATTATAAGTAATCGTATGAACAGATGCAGTATTTTTTTCTCTAAAAAAACGTATTTAGACTTTTTCTCTAAAATAATTAGGGGAGCTAGTAATTGGCTATAAAGAAATTACCATTGAAATCCCTATGCTGCGTCGCGCAAAGCACGACCCGGTATCATACTAGGGTACTTAATAGTCAGTTTGCTGCCCACGCAGTAAAATTTTTTTCCTGTTGTCTCGAATCTAGATTACCTAGTATAAACGAATGGCCATTCCCCTGTAAAGTAGAAAAACTAAAATTTGTATAATTAAATTAGATAGGTAGTCATTTTTGTATTTTACAGTAATTTCATTCATCAAATTTATTGTAATTTAGAACTACAGATCTCTGTCCAAGTTGTGTCCCTGTATCTTTTTTGAACTTTCAATATAATCAAACAAAAAGCCCTTCTGTGGTTGTTATTGTGTTGGTTACTTCCAATCAATCGCCAGTTAATTTTGAAGAAAGGTTACAAGTGTGGAAGGTAACTAGAGCAATTTGATAACACAGTTGCAGTGTCACATCATTACCGTTACGCTAGCCGGAGCACCCACATTAAAATTTTTTGTTATACTCAGTTTGAGTTGGAACTTTCAATTACATTAGCCCGTTCCAATTGGCACCCATCAAGCAGTGGGTCGGTTTTTATTTAGAGGTACCGTCCTAAACATCAATATCACGAATTTGAAAATTATAGTTTTTGAAAATACGAAAATAGTATATTAAAGCACAAGTGTCATTTGACGAAGATTGTCGCACGAGGTAGTAGCCGAGTGCGACAAGTAGACAAATGACACGTGTGCTTTATACTATTTTTTCTATTTCGACTTTTATTTTAAATAATAAATTATACAAATTATAAATATTGCATTTAGGCGTTGTTAGGTAATTTTAAACTATCATTCAGTGTATGTTGGTAATAGACACAATTCATTTATTTTCACGTTGGCTAACCTGATTCCTGTATTTTCAAACTTCAAACTTTTAATTAGGTATTTGGTCATAATTCCATTTTGCGGCAGTTATGATGAATACGGATGACAAACACGTCTCTTGTACCCCACCAGAGATCCAAGAGATTGCCAATGAAGCGACGTTAAATTTACTGCCTGTAAAATCGAAAGTAAAGTACGAGGAGTACAACATTTTTGAAAACTGGCTGGCCGAGAAGGGAGTTCAAAAAGTAAGCAAGAATGTACTGCTGGCATATTTTACTACGCTAAGTAAAAATAAAAAAAGTTCTACCCTTTGGAGTATATATTCAAAATTAATCGGAATTAATACAATCGGTCAAGTTCCTCGTACGTTATTTACACTTTACAGGTTATGTTTAGTTTTGATTTGACGGATACCGTTGACAGCAAAAAAGCGAGGGGTACCAATCCAACAAAATAAAAAAAATAATGCGTTTCTATTTCTTTCGGCATCATTTCTGTCTAGAAACGCACGCAAACTGGGCCAATCAAGTACGGTTTCGGTATTGTTTCCACATCGAAATAGAAAAAAAATCTTCTACAATTCTTGACCGGACTACGAAAATGGAGAGAATTTGTTGTGTAGGTACCACGGTGTACTATTTTATACCGTGGTAGGTACATACTTGATGAGTTAAGGAACAAAATTGTCGTACAGTTTCACCATTTTTTTAAGGTGCTTATATGTAACAATCTGTATAATTAGGCTTGCCAGACGTCCCGGTTTACGCTTAAGATCCCGGTGTCCCGGCCGGTTTACTACACGTCCCGGAAAATATTAAACTTTGATTAGATGAATTTACGTATTAACGTCCATGCTATCGGGGGTTAATGAAGGAATCAACGGTAAAAGGCTTGATGACTTGTAAAATTAACATCGGCCTGAGCTGTGAAGAGTTTTATAAGATTAAAAACAAAAAAGAAGTGCTAAAAATGATTCAAGCCAAAGAAAAATATATGTAAAAGAACTGTATCTTCTATCTTTGAAACTCTGTATGTTTTGTCACTTATTAAAACGTATAAATAAGAATAAAAATGTATAATTTTCTCAGTCATACATACAGCCTTCATTTACCTACAACTTTCTGCTAGTTTTTAATTGCCAAGATAGCTTATAATATCAATAATATTAATATGTGATTTCTGGGCATGTAATTTTCAACATTTTTTTTCCGGGGGAGGGTCCCTTCTTTTGTCCCGGTTTCTCCTTGGACAAATCTGGCAAGCCTATGTATAATACCTACTGTATCGGTAGGTATACGATCTGCACAATACAACCATTGATGCGTCCCAATTATAAAGTACTTTATGAAGTGTTCTTACTTCTTATTAGGTCACGAGCTCACAACACACGTTACAAAATTTACGATAGGTACGGACAGATTACAAGTACCTCGCATTTTAAAACATGACACAAAATACTTATCACGAGTGTACCTTTAAAGGATTCAATTACTTACCGTTTCTCACATGCAAGTGTCGTTGCTTCCTTAACCATTCATCAAAAGCTTCAAGAGTTTCTATAGTTCGCTTAGGATCTTCATTTAATTCCGTTGCCGCTATGTCACTCAGTTCCTTGTAGTAGGGGAGCTAACACGAAATCCACTGAACGAGAATGATCAAAATTTTAACCGATGGTGTTCCATTTTGCCCTATCAGAGTATGCTAAAATCGATCGTCTGCCGCCTCAGGTCATACGACTTAAGGCGCTGCGGGTACTTCTTGCGGTACCAATTCTGAAAGGTTGTTTTTCGAAAAAATAAGTTATATACCAAATGAAAACGTTGATAATAGCTCTTAAAAAAATATTTAAAAAAATCCCGCGCATTTGATAACTCAGTAAAAAAACAATTCTTAGTCGGTTTTTCACGAACTTTCTACGGATATAACTAGGTTACCGTTGGAAGAATGAAGCTGATTTTTTTTACAGACTCATGATAGGTACTACTAATGACTTAACGGTGTTTCGTTTTTAAATTTTGTCTCTAATTACAAGATTATCATATTAGCTTAACATTATAAGATATCTTATAATTAGAGAAAAAATTTAAAAAAGAAACACTCTCATAGTCATTGGCTGTACCTATCATTAGTCTGTAAAAAAAATCAGCTTCATTCTTCCAACGGTAACCTAGTTATATCCGTAGAAAGTTCGTGAAAAACCGACTAAGAATTGTTTTTTTACGGAGTTATCAAATGTGCGCGATTTTTTTAAATATTTTTTTAAGAGCTATTATCAACGTTTTCATTTGGTGTATAGGTAACTTATTTTCTCGAAAAACAACCTTTCAGAATTGGTACCACAAGAAGTACCCGCAGCGTCTTAAGTCGTATGACCTGAGACGGCAGACGATCGATTTTAGCATACTCTGATAGGGCAAAATGGAACTCCATCGGTTAAAATTTTGATCATTCTCGTTCAGTGGATTTCGTGCTAGCTCCCCTACTATTGGAAATGGCACGTATGGATTGTGTTTTAGGGTGCATAGTGTTCGGAAGACCCCACTGTGGATTGCTGAAATTTAATAGAAGAATAAAAGGTGAACATGTTGAGACACTACTTTCTGCGAAAAGAAAAACATTTCAAAAAATTCAGTTTTTAAAGTACCTTACAACCTTGAATTTTATAGCCCAATTCAATTATAATTTTATTGTGCGCTAATTTCTATCTCATACTTTGCTGATGTATTAAGCAGGCCTTCCACGTGCATTCATTTCATCGAACTTTGTATTATGGCCATGTCTTCGAACTTGGAACAGAATGTTGAAACACCACTTCCACATTCGCACATGGTTCGTACAAACTTGGCGAACAAATACAGATACAGGTACGATTGTGCACGCGAAAACAACGATATGCGCTTTCGGTTCCTCTTATACTACAATGCGTAAATCTATCTCACTTATTTCTTAACTCCAGGAGCGACAACCACATCCACGCGCGCGCCCAGCATCGCCCCACGCCAAGAATTTAGGATTGGCAAAACTCTTCGCTCCGCACCAAGAACGATGCAAACTTTGCGCGATGACCACTTCCACGTTCGAACTTGGTCTGTCTGTAGGAGTGTACACTCCAAGTTCGATGAAATGAATGCACGTGGAAGGCCTGCTTTAAGTACTCCATTTGGTGGAATTACAAAAACAGGTAGGTAAAAAATACTTTATAATTGTTAAAATTTATGTATGGCTCCATTTGGAATTATATCAATTATAAGTATTTCACCTAGGTACCTTGTTTTTTATATTTCTATCCCATACATTACAAATACCTACATTATAATAGATATACATGAAAATAGCTATTTGTATATTAAGAGCGCAAAATGATATATTGTCGATTAAAAGAGACAGTTGACGCGCGACGAAGGAGCGCGGCAATCTCTTGAAATCGACAATCAATTTGCGCTCGAATTACACACAAGGTTTTTGCTACAATCGAGCAGTTCACATATTTCCAAAAATTTAAATTTTTCACTCAAATCATTTTAATCTTATGCCCAAATGAAAGATGTCATTTACTCGTTGTCATTGGATACTCTGAGCAATGCATATTTGATTTATAGTTAATAATTGGGAGAGCGAGCGTTTTTTCTATTTTGTCGCTTATAAGGGGCAAAGTGACATTCCTCGAAAAAGATGACGTTTGCGTTGTCAAATACGAGCGCAAATGCCTACTTTGGATATCGATTGTAGAAAAACAACTTTACGATAGTCTAGAATTCTAGATTTAAGTGAATCAACATTACTACATGAAAGCATTGAATAAAAAATTAAATATTTAATGATGAAAGTAAATATGCAAACAATAGGGAGAATTCACATTTTTAGGTTTTGTTACATGCTCGCACCGCTAACGAAAAGATGAAAATTCATTTTTTTTTCACTTTAATTACAGGACGTTACGGTTTAATATTACTCCCCAATTTTACATTTTAAGTAATAATCGATACTATGTCGATAAATGTTAACTATATGCTGTGGAATAAATTTATATACCCACCTATCGTTTGTTAATTCATAAATTAATATTTTTGTGAATGCAGAGATCATCTGCTATCCCGCCTGATGATTACTTAACTTACGAAAAACTTGCATTGCGCTTTACGAACTATTTTTAGAAAGGTCATGTACCTAAACATTACATTGCATTAAATTTATGCAGTTTTGGTCACGTACCTACGCAAGGGTCGGTGTTGGGCCGGTAAGTACTACGTACTTCATATGACAACAAATTTAAATATACTATTTAAATCTGTGATATGACGTACATCGCCAATGACTATGGCCTGCAATAAACCTTAGTTTACGAAATGAGGAAGATATGAAACCTGCTAAAGTTTACAGTTAATCTGACTTAAAAATTGCTTATGACAAAATACAACAGCAACGGCACCCGAAATATTTGTAACGTGGTTTCAAAAGATAGGTAGGTACCCACAAAAAGAAAGAAAAATCGGTGTTCAGCTACATGTTAATTATATTATCAGAGGTATAAAAAAACTGCATTCTATTGCCGTAAAGATCATTTTAGTGTAAGTTGATAGATGACTGAGCAGTGAGCACTGAGTAGTAATCGCACAATATTGGCACATCAATCTGTGGTAAATTAAGCGCGCCGCCTCTCTGTAATCCCGGTTTCATGTTTATATAACATAAGAATGTGTAAGAAACATCAATTGGCGTACACAAGTGACAAGACCTTTAACCAAAACCACTATTCCGCATATTAACGTTCCAGGCGCGATACATCTTATTAGATCATTTGGGGGTGGGGCTTGAAGCGCGCTTGTAAAGTCACCCAATTAGAAAACGTTTCTGGACCTCGTCACGAAATTCAAAGTTATTTCCCTAATTTTGAGAAAACGCTTGCTTTTTTTGAAAAAATTCTTTCAGTTCCACGCTCAGTGATCATTAGTGCACCCTATTATATGACATATAATAGCACTTACATTTTTTGCATTCTCCCTTTTGCGATTCAATTTTCATACCAAAAAGGATATAAAAACCTATCGTACAGAACTCAACGGTTGCAAATTGATATTTGATTAAATGTTTTTAAGCAATTCTCATTGATTTAAGATAATAAGGTCACGCAATATGTGATTATTATGTTTGCTGGTAATTATTTAGACGAGTTCATTAGAAATATTACGGCATAACGTCGTAGAACTCCGACAGCGACACAAATAATAGTTATTAACGAACGACAAAAAGCGAGTTAATGATTTTGGACTTTCTGTCCGTCCGTCTGTGTACATGATAACTCACGAACGGTTTCGAATTTTCCAATTTCCCATTAAAACCCCGCTCCCTTCGGTCGCTCTGATTTAAAATGGTCATCGTCCTGTAAAGTAGGTACACATAAAACACCTTAGTGGCTATTAAGGGTGCCATAATAATTTGAATTTGCTGTTAAATAGACCATTTTGTTTTTATTTAATGTTACAAGAAGCAAACATTAAGATATTACGGCTATGTGTAAATTTTCATTTAACCAAGTTACCATTTTACGTGTATTGTAATAAAACTTGACTACTAGGAAAGTTAGTATAGCATTTTAAAACAAACGATAAACAGATTTGATTGCACTTCGCGCACGTAGGTACATATTATGTAATTCATATTAGGTTCGCCAGATTTATTTATACCTATCGCACTGTACACTTAATAACGAGAAATTTAATTAAAAACTAGTCGATAGATAACTTTCGAAAAGATCCCTCCATTCCTAAATCTTTGCTGCATGTGTATCGAGATCGATAGGTCTCGTCGCATGAATAGGTGTCATCCTCTATAAACCAGTCCCTGTAACTTTTAAATTTCCTAGACCATTCGTCTACAATCCAATTTTTAGCAAGGAATTACAATAAAAGAGATTAGTGGTAAGTTTACCCTTAAGAAAGTTTAATGGTAGGTTATCGCCACCGTATTCCAAGGGAAGTAATGAAAGTATATCATTGCCAACAGCTTCTTTCCAGCCTTGTATCGATAGAACGAAAGCCTGAAAAAACGTTTGTAGGTAATCTTTGGTAGTGCTATGTCGTGACACCTCTTACCCTCTTTTTAAGTTTGTCGCTCAAAAACGGATTAACCAGGGTATTGTATATTACTTCTGCGGGTTTTGGAGTATTTATAGTAATCAGTTTGTTCATTCTGATGGGATACATCTTCTCAATGCACGTTGCACACTTTTTCATAAGCGCAGGTGTACAATGTAACAAATGTCCCGCAGTAATCCCTGAAAAATCTGCTATTATTTGTAATCCAGAAATAACAGCATTGTCGTCTTCTATCATTAACATGTCAACAGCAGAGGTAAGTGCTTTACATGTTGTCAGCACCGATATCGCCTCGTGAAAAGTTATGAATAGGGTTCTTGGCCCAGCGTGTCCTTTTCCATTTGGTAGGAGAGCAATCAAACTGAAATTCAAATTGATGATTGAAACAGTTTTTGTCACAAACTCACCCGGTCCTACGTGCTGCTTGCATTTCATCTGATAAAGGATCCCTCTCACGGAACAGTTCCGGAATCAGTGTTTTAAATGTGTAATAACCATCAATTTTTTGTTTAGCTCGTTCAAGACTCCATTTACACCCACGAAGGAAAGCAATCAGGTGTTGGTAATCTAAAAAAAATCAACATGGCACAATTAAACAGATGTTATAGGCAGTTA